GGTCTGTGTGTAGAGCCCAACAATTAGCAAGGTTATGTGGATAATTTAATTTGGATTTGTTAATTGTGACAAGTACAATTCGTATTACCTACAACAATGTATTAAAAATTAAATTGATAAGGTATGTTAATTTCACCCCTGGGGGCATGATACGTCTTCAATTAACTGAGACATTTGCCTCCAATTCTGATATACAGACAAAAACGTTCATTTGAGCACTTCCAAAATAATTTAATTAATTTTATTTCTGTTGGTTGAGTTTGACAAAGATTGCTAATCGTAGCTACCGAAATAGATTAGATATTCAAGCTGATAAAAATATTAATTGAATGCTGATATGTTATCAGATAACGCTTCACGTCAGAATTTATTTCCTAATTTCAAGTTCTGTAAGATCAGTCACGAAGAAGTAATTCTAGGTTCGGTTTAGTATTGCGGTCTGAAGCACATAAATATGTTGCGGTGCATAATTCTAAAATGGTTGGTCCTCGGATCGAGTCTGCTTTCTATTGCTGTAGTATACGGTAGGTTTAAATATGACGATAAATTAGTTTTTTTACGCCTAATGGGCTAAAACACAAGACAACTTATAAGTAATTTTAAACTGAAGACTGAAAGTTAGGTTTACATGTACTGTTTTTTCGCCAGTTTAATACACTGGCAGAGATTTTGTTTGCTAAAAATATGTACACACAATGGATAATAAAATTTAAGAATTAATATGTGAATTAATTAAAATTTTGGAATCAGCCGCTGTTTGTTAAAAGAACCAAACAAAGTCTTACAATATACCTTGGTTTCTGCGCATCTCAAGGTTAAGCCTGAAGTGGTTAACCAGTTTTCATTGTACCTGCAGCCGTAATTGTAAGTTAATGAACATTGCATGCAGTTATTTATTACTGTCTCATTAGTTTGACTAGTTTTCACCACACACCACAAGAGCAAAGCGGAATAATTAAACTTCAGAGTCGATTGTAAACTTGAATATTTGTGTCATAACCAATTTTTAACATATTTTGTAACAGTAAATTGAGAAGTTACACCGCTAGAGCTGATTGACCATCAAATAGCTGTTACTACCGCAAAAAGAGGCGAATTGGCATGGCTTAGTAAATATACTGACTAGCTTACAGGCTAAATAGCTGCAGTCCGATTCCCGACAGAGGCACCAATTTTCATTTTGGACACCTCGTCCGGACCGACTCTGGAGCTTACGCAGCCTCGGGGTATGCTGTTTTGGGTTCTTTCGCTAGGGGGGTAAAGTGGCCAGTGCATGAAGCTCGCCATTTACCTCTGATCATAAAATGCGTTCCCACTCTCTCATACGCCAAGCACAGAGAAAGCTTTGTACATTTAACTTACTATACAGAGGGCTAACCTAAATGCACTCTGTTAAAGCAATGCGAACTTAAAGCAGATGGTACACACAGCTGATAATCTACTCTGAGGTAACCAGTTCTCACTCTTGTTTCAGGTCAAGGTGATGTGACAACAAATTACACGACGGGTGGGCTGCAGATCTTCAGGAGTTCTTACGTGGCAACAGAATGTACATTGCTCCTACCAGACAAAGACAACTGCACGTACAAGCCCAGGACAACGCCTCCGCCCCACAAGAAATGCAGTTTTCCTAATGCTGTAATATATCCTTTCTGCAATTTTCAAGTCGAAATCCTCAGCGAACAATTGAGTGGGGTCTACGTATTAAATGCTAATGGCGCAGGTGGAGGCATCGTGGAGAATAAATATAATATTTTTCTCTATACTGGTAAGAAATTATAATTTGTAACGGTTTTCTTACTTTAAATGTATACTGTGCATTGTAAAAACGTCCATTGTGCATGCCAGTTATGAAGAAGAATGGAGATAAATAATTGGCCTCAAACTAGTTAATTTCATCCCACGTAAACCTCAAATTCTTTATCTTTATTACATGAAATCTCTCTTCCTGAACTTTCTATTCCTTACGTTGTTCTATGTTGTGATTTAAGAAATCAACTGTTAATGTTAATTAAATTTGTATGATTGAAAGAATAAATTTCATTCAACAAGCATATTTATCCTACAGGTATTTTCCCTAACAATGAAGTAACAGTGATTGAAAATGAGAATGTGTATCTGCGAATGGCAGGTTCTTTTGACGACACAATGAATTGCGTCGTCTTCTATCCGAATGGCACAAGCGAGGATCTTGTATCAGGTTCTTCAGTGTCGTCTCCAAATTACTGGGGAGCAGAAGGTAAATTTTCATAATTTCGTTAGGTTAGGTACCTAGATTTATCTTCCTTTGGTAAGCATGAGATGCATTAATTCCAAATCCCATTATTATGTCAAAATATCTAAATTAAACAAATCTCACTGGGATTGAAAGAACAAGTAACATATTTTGTATGTAATATCCCTGTTTCGATGGTACAACGTATATAGCGGCAAATAAAGTGGAACTATATAATCTAAAAATATTCGGCGAGGTTCTTTATTATCTAACTTTTTGTGCTTCTCTCTTGGGTGCAAATATCTTTCTCGGGACTTTGAGATCTGAGGTTTTCACGGCGGCGAGTCTGAAGATGGCTGTCTTCTGGGTTGTTGAGCCTTGTAGTCTGGTAGAAGTTTACCAACGTTTCACAGGTGTTTGCTGCCTCCAACATCTGAGAAGTACAACCCAGAAGACAGCCACATTTATTCTCAGTACTTTGTTCTTGAAGGTTCTCAATGTCTGTTCCGCACCCATTAAAAAAAAAGACTATGTTTCACATCTGTATAAATCAACAAGTAAAATTATAGTTCTGTACGTTTTAATTTTCACTTCGTGAATTATAAACGTGATTTTCAGATGAATGCGGAGTTAAGGTTGATGGTGTGACCGACCAACATGCAGGCAAATGGAAACTTGAGGTAACGAGCGACAGCGCGTATGTGTACACAGAATTCGAAGTGACAGTGACATGTAAGTATTCTTAAACACAATACCTATGAAGCAAGCAGTTCGCAGACTTGAGATGCCATTCTATTATTAACGACAGAACATTCAAACGAAAGTGAAATGGCCTCAGTGTCATGATGTAACTTGTTAAATAGCTCGGCAGACACATAACACATAAACATAATGGCATGACATCGTAATCCCAACATTTTTCTACAAAAACAAGTAAAGCAATTAAGTAATACAGTAGATTCTCGCCAACCCTTTATCAAGTAGCAATTACGTTTTAATTAGTGAAATAAATAATAAATAATTTTAAAACGTTTAGAACTTTAGCCGCCTTTTAATTTTAATAATAATAATAATAAATGTTATTCAATGTTAAACTTGGAGTAAAATAAATTCATGAAATGCTTGTTTTATCATACAGTCCAGAAATCAAATTCAAACCAATAATTTTGTCAGTTTTATATAAATCTAAAATTCAGTCCCTTATTCAGATAAAAACATAGATTAAGAGAAAAAAAACAAACCAGACCTAATAAAATACCAGGACATAAGAGAGATGAAGGACGTGAGATTTCAGGTTCTCATGGCGGTGAGTATACTGATTGTTGTCTTCTGGGTTGTTAGGCCGTGTAATGTGGTAGACGTTTACCGACGTTTCAGAGGTGATTGTTGCCTCTATCATCAGGGCAATGAGCGACGATGATGCCGGCAGCAAGGACCTCTGAAACGTCGGCAATAATGTGCTAAAACCCAGAAGGCAGCCATCTTCGTACTCACCGTCGTCGAACCTCAAATCTTACTTATTATTCCTTTCTCGACAGGTTATGTGTAATGAATAATCGATAATTCCCAGTTATATCCACAATTCCTCGCGCCCTCGCAGAGCCTGTCGCCATTTTCGTTGTATTAATCGTATTATATTCTGAACAGCAGTGAAATTTCACTTATAATTCTTGTCTTGTCCACATCACAATAATCATACTAATCCCCACTTGACTGTTAGGTAATACGCGTTTACACATTCTTACGCGTGCGTTATATAATTATCTTTCTTTACTATTATCTACGCATGATTAGTCTCATATCACCCTAATCCCAACTGTTCTCTTTAAATTAAGGAATTTTAATTTCGTTAAATTAATTTTTGTTTAACGGGGACTTTTAAGAAACGTATCGATATCTACGTGTAACATAGCATAAGTCAGCATCATTGTCTCTTTCAGTGCTGAAGAATATTGATACACGACCGAGACCTCCAATAGAATGGATTTTCGGTGAGACGGGTACTGTGTCCATGTCACGGTCAAACAGCAAATACTGTGAAATTTGGAATCCAAATAAAGAATTAGTTCAGCGTGAGTTAGCTTGCAATTATACAAAAGACATCGTTACTGACGCCGATAACGGCAAATGGACAATCGTTTTTGGAATGAATGGAAAACTAACTGAGGACAAATTTATACAGGAAATCAAAGTTATAAAAGGTAAGGAAAATAGTCTCGACTTATATCTACCTGTTGTGTTCGAATATTTGCCTGACAAGACGTACGTTTGTGATTTATCTTCTTCTCTCTAACATATTTTCGATATATTTTTTAAACGCGCCTATAAAACCCAATAACATTTCTAATCATAATTACAACATATCTGATGCAGGAGATTTTGACGTGAGTGTATCGGAATCGGAAAGGTTTCGAGGGGGCCTGGACCTACTTTGTAGAATACCCCTAGGACCCGTAACAGACTGCACTTTTACGCGGCCTGACGGAGAAGTTCTTCTTCCGGCTGAAGGCGTAGGGAATGCCTACTACAGCTACTTCGGTGATGGCTTCAATGATGGAGACTGTGGCCTGACGATTCACCAACTACAAGAAGCAGACAAGGGCTGGTGGGAATGTTCAGTGACAGTTGGGGCGACAAGAAGACACGGATTTCTCAACGTGTCAGCTACTGAAGGTAGGTGCAATTGTGCGCCAATGGTGGGTTCTTTTTTCCCGTCTAGTTTGATTCCATTGGTGTTGTACCTTTGAAGTTCAGGAATTCAGGAAGAGACAAAAGTGGTAAAGGGACCGGACCATGAAACACGCGACTCATCTGCTGATGCTGAGGTTAAAAGTGAGTGAAGCTTTACACCCATGCCACCTTCAAGATGCCTGGCTGTATGAATGGACAGAACGAAAGTGATAGGTGAATAAACTAGACAGTAATGAGACCCCAAAGAAAACACAGAAGGAAAAGCGTTCAACCAGCTTGTCTTTAGGTTTTCGCGACTAGAGTTCAATGTGTCACTTGGGCTCTCGGTGATGAACCTTTTCGGGTGTTGAGAAATATCCAAAAATTTGGCAAACATAGCAGTTTCCAACTGCACACGCCCAACCACAGCATATTCTCCCTAAAGATGGCAATTAAAATAGTTGTCGAAACAGATAATTATCAACAATCGATGCTGCTCATCGCCGAGAGCCGAAGTTACATATTCCAGCAACTGCTCCACTGTGAGACCGTAACAGCGGCACATCAAATGGTACTGTAATACACTGACTATCCCAAGCTGTAAACTTATATAGACATGAAAGACGGTCATTTTGAAAAGTTAAAGTAAAACAGTATGTATGTGTTTGTAAAGATATTTATAAGGACAGGCATGAGAAGTAATTTGATTAAATTCAGAGTCGCAAGTACAAAACCAACTCATGTGCGTTTTTATCCAGATTGTGCCCTTACTTTTGGACCCCCGTATATATGTTTTGTCGTTGTTATAAAACACATACAGGTACGCAGGTAGATGACTGGATAAATGTCTAGCAAAATCACCATCTGACACACCGTCGCAACTTTCAGATCCAGATGTGGGGACTGAAGCCCTGACAGTTGTGCAGAATGGATCGGAGGTACGCTTGTCATGCAAGGCCCAGCACTCGCTGGAGTACTGCTGGTTTCGCCACCCCACCGGCTTGCATATCCCATACAGCACCCAGCCGGTTCCTCTAGATGGGCTGCCAGAGACGTTCTCGCCTCGATTATTTCAGTACGATGACACCTTGCAGTCGGGAGTCTGCAGCCTATCAGTGTCTAGGGCCAACATAACTGTGGACCGGGGACAGTGGATATGTCACCTGGGAATCCTGGGCAGTACTGAGGAAGACCACGCAGTACCCATCATAGTAGAAGTCTCAGGTGAATTTGTATCTATAATAGTACTTCATAACGAAATATGCAAAGCGAGGCATTTTTAATGTAGGCGTACATTTTGCCTTTCACGCTTAGGTTTTTCGATAGAGTCACATGGTTGAATTAACAGTTCCACTCGCGAGACTGCGATGACGGCAGCGAGTAATACAATATAAGTGATGACTTTCGCTACTGTTGTGGTTCTTATTATGTTTCTTTGTACAGTTTTAATGTTTCATTTAATTACATCATTGACCGACAGACCCAATTTTCTGAAACCGTCATGTTACGAACGTGTTTGTATCCAAGAGGAGTGGAGGTAAAACTCAATGTACGTATTATAATCCTCGATAGTAAGTAGAAATAACTTCTTTTTTTAAGCTCAAAGAGGATCTTGCGCAATAAAGTTAGGTTATTCGAGCAGCCAGTCAGTATACTGCTGATGTGTTAGTTTCGTATTCAGTTACTTGGTTATGTATCTTTGTGTATATAACGACGGTTTGTCAGCTGAATACATTGTACACTGTGAATGGCTGAATTATTGTAAATTATAAACTGGAAGGTTGTGGAGGGAAGCCATGGTGGCCTATTTTAGGGTATTGTCTTAATATTTCGTTGGAAGGACTGGGAAAAATTACGAAAAGGTCTCAGTTACGATAGCCTTTATCTGGACTGAGAATTCAGCCCGAGACTTCTGTATACAAAGCATTCAATTGCGACATTTGGTTTTATTAGTTAATCACTTAGTTACTTAGCCATCCAGTAAGCTAAGTACTTGGTTATTCAATTGTCGGATAGTGGATATGCTGTAGGCTTAATTTTTTAAAGCAAAGATATTCAAAATTTTTTTGTTATATTTCAATGGAAACAAATCAAATTTGCAGCTTATGTTTAGTTCACAGTGTCAATAGAAGGCCGAGCAGATACATTTTAAATTATGATGCCACAAAGCATAATTATGTAAATAATAATAACCGGTTTCATTACTATATGAGAATACATCTATTACATAATTCTTTTTGTTTACATTTACAGATAGTGAAGTTATAAGCTTGGAAAAGGAGCTAGTCCTTTCTAGCGAACCTACAATTCTAAAATGCTACTCAGTACCTTTGGGTAGACCTCTGCAATACTGTCGCTTCCTTCGTCCAGATGGCAAAGGATTTAATGTTGTACCAGGCGGCAGGTAGGTGGTATAACTTTTGTTGAATCGACAAGAAAATTGTTGCCACCGGTCACGGAGAATGTAAGTCTGAACAAGGTATCTAACATGGACTAATTGGAGCTTGAAGATGGCTGTCTTCTGGGTTGTTGCGCCGTGAGGCAGCAAGGACCTCTGAAACGTCAGTAAACTTCTAGCAGACTGCACGGCGCAACAACCCAGAAGATAGACATCTTTAAGCTCACCGCCGTGAAAACCTCAAATCCTGCATAATTCGAGCTTGTTAACGACGCACTTCATCCGTTCGGTTCTGCTGTGTTTCAGTGCATGGGGTACCTCTGAGCTACGAAATCAAGACTTTTTGTTTTTAGTTTCTCAAAGCGTTGGCCGGACTCATGTGCCTAATATAAACGCTCCGCCACTAGTATGGGCACATCTTAATTAATGGGATTCTTGAACGTGGACGAGAGAACTTTTCCGTCGATTATTTTCACCACGAATCTCAACAATCCATTATTACCAAAACACACTGTTACAAAATTCTTTGATTCAGACTTTGATAAGAAGATTCAACTCCTCTTTATATCCGACAGCAACGCGGTGCTGGGCCACTACGGATATGAAGCAGAAGGCTTAGAGAAGGGTGAGTGTGGGCTGAGAATAGTGTCGGGGACTGCTGAAGACGAAGGACAGTGGACTTGTGTGGCAAAGCTTCAAGGAAAGAAGCAGGAAGACCAGGACTTTATTACGTTAAGGAGAAATGGTAAGCAATTTAATAGAATGGCCTATCAAACGACCAAGTCCTTAATCACTAAAAATTGGCCGACTGAAAAAAAGTCTTAAATAATTTTAACAAGATGTAGCGGGAAATGATCGTTTCACTCACCAAATAAATTCTGGCTAGAAATGTTAGTGCTTCCAGGCCTTCAAATAAAACTGTGTCATTTACGACTGTTTTCAAGTCACAATTTAAAGCCAGCCACAGATTTGGAATTATTTAATGAATTGTATTACACAATATGGACAGTATAATCATATTTCCTATCGATGTCCGATATTCATATATCACGTTTGTCTTTTAGCTAAGTTTATATGCTGAGCATTTAAAATGAAAAATTCCACTTATATGAGAAAATTTCCCTTCGGAATGTTTCAATATGAAAGAAGATCCAAAACTCCATCCAGCGGTTCTGAATACGCGGCACGCCGATGTTTTGTGCTGCCCACACATAAATTTTTGTAATATTGTATCACTGCATAACGAAAATAGTCGATACCGCCAAAAGTAAGCGTGTAATTTTAAGTTAATAATTAATACAAATAACAAATTAATACATTACAAACAATATGTGAGCGTGTTTGAGATAGTAGGTAGTACGCCTACGCTTCACGAATTTGGAAACTTCACGTCTTTATGGAACCCGGCGGTTCATTAGTGTTACGAGAGTGAATCGTAACTTTAGCCACATGAATTTAGTCCACACCTTCCCACCCAATTTCTCTAAGATTTATTTCAACATTATCCGCTAATCTACCAAGCGTTCTCCTCTCTTGAAGTTTTCCGACCAAAATTTCACTATATCAGCCTTTCTGATTTAATCATTGCAAAAACCAGATTATAAAATTCCTCATTATTACATTTTCTCCTTCCTTCTATTACTTCCTCATACTCTGGATCTTTGCGTTTTGAGGGGAGGTGATAACACCTATTTCGGCAGTGTTAATTTTGTCATATTAAGGTACATTTTTTCTAAACAAGAACAAGTTCTACAGTAATTAAATTTGGTACAGATGTATTTATAGGTTTTTCTTAACTACTGACATTTTATCATAGCAATATACTTTCAAACTGATTTATATAATTGTTATATCAGACCAATTTGACTAGCGAATACCAGGATAATATGTTTGAACAAGTTACGACCACCTCCTTTCAAGTTCTTCGTCATCATTTATCATCATCTCATCTCATTTGACGTTAAATTCAGTTTTACAGCTACCATTGGAAAGTCGTCGATAAGATGTAATCGGCCACGTATCACTTGGCTCTATTTAGACTATGCGGTTGATACAGCGATCATAAATTCCATAAGAATAAAAGAATGATTACAGTTTAAATTGTTTCAGTTGAACCGAATCAGACTGTGGAAGACGAGGGGTTGTCTGTTGGAGCCATCGTTGGGATTGCAATTGGTGGAATTGTCGTTCTACTGGTAATAGCAGGAACTACCTTCTTCATTGTACGATGCAAGCAACAAGCATAAGGAAACGACGTTTCATGGAACCATTACTGCATTTCTTCAATATTATATTCAATCAAACTGAAGAGGACGAACCTCTCCTCGCTTGTTGTAAAACGCTTGTATCATCGGCATATTATTTAGCACACCGTTCATCTCATAATCTACGACATCAGGAGTTTTGAAGATGTTAGATCTTAATTTATCGGGAGTCAAATTGGAAGTTTCGGCTACAGAACTAGCATTTCTGCTGCAGTTACACAAATATTTCTACAAACACATCATCAGCTGTTTTATGGTACAGTGTAGCACATATTCTGACGTATTCAGACACATTTTATTAAATAAACAAAATTGTAAATTGAAGACAGCCATCTTCAATTTACACCGTGAAAACCTCAAATCCTACAAATGAGTAAATTGTTTATAAATTTTTGTGTCAATGTTTCTAAAGACAGAAAGAAAATGATTGTCAGAATATTTGAATGCGATGTAAGAGAAGTAAGCAGAGAATGGAGACACGTACATAAGCACTGTCTTATAGTTCGTACGGTTCACCGGATATTGATAGAGTGATTAAATAATTGAACATGGGCTGGGCATGCAACACGTAAGTGGAAGCAAGAAATTAGAACACAAGATTAAACGAAATATCACAAAAGACCACTATGGAGAAATAGTACACGCATGGGTTAAATGAAACTAGATCTTGGATAAATAAGATGTAAAAATGCGGACTGAGCTGAGTGTAGGAGTCTAGTGCCAGACAGCAACAAATCCTCAGCTACCGCAAAGGAAAGTCTTTTTTTGTCAAGCTAAGTAACAGTTTTTTAAGGAAGACTATCATGGAGTTGGTTTAGCACTATCATTGAGTATTTTATATGAATACTGTCTATTATCAGAAATAAAAAGAACCCATACGATGCTTACACGGCTGTCTGTAAAACAGCCTATAAAATACAATAATTTGTATCACTAGTTACAGAGATAGTATTCACATAAAACGTATCTACAGTGTATAAACTTAATCGGCCAACTTACAAACAGCCAACAAATCTACTAACTCTGCAGCGTCTTCCTTGAAAAAAAAAAGAATGTAGTTAATTAGCTAGTCAAAAAGATTATTTGCTTTTATAGAACCAGAAGGTTCATTAAGATGTTCAGAAACGTCTGGAATTAGAAGTTATGTCAATTCAACCCAGAACAAAACTTCGTGTGTCATGTCTTAGAACCATTTTAATATTATCATTTATACGGTATGTCTTAAGCGTGTTCATGCCTCACAAATTTATTCACATAATACAATTTAATTTTTACAGAACGCACGTTGTAACAATGCTTATATGACGAGTAACATGTTATATGATTAAGAAGTATAATTTTTATTTAATTTAGTGTATTTTTTAAAGAATTTCATATAAATAACTTATGCTGTTATGTGAAGCCTGCCTCTGACCAGTGTGAATAAAAATAAAATCCTCAGATAACACTTAGCATAGGCTTTTCGTAAAACTATACCCAAGTTATTAGAATGTACTGGGAGATTAAACGTAAGAAGCCGCGTTTTCTTAACCTTCAGCACTAGACGAAGATGAATTGACAGTTTCACGCCAAGTCGATTTATTCCTGAGTGAAGTGAACCTGGTAAGATTTGGGTATTAGGTAAATTAGCCTCAGGAACTGGTCTGGTGACGAAGAGTGAAAGTCCTGCTCTTGACGAAAATTGGAACCTCATAGTCTAAGTCCTAGTCAGTCGTTTTGTTCACTTAGTTGTCTTAGCTAATCATAGACTTCACGTGCTAAGTTATGTTTGAATCTGACAAGTGGTTTTTCATTAGAAAATGGAAAACTACTGATATGCACTGTGACACGTATTTGAAAAGTACATGATATTTAGTAGGCATTTCTTCCGAAAAAATATGGCGGCTACGCAACTATTCTTACGTCATATTGGTAACTGACGCCTCAATGTAACTTGAATTCTGTAATTTATGTGGTACCGTCATTAGATAATGTTCTAAAGTTAATGTATCTAAAAACAGTATCAACAAATACAGATGAGATTCGTTATTAAATAATGAAATAAAATGCTAATGACTGGTTACTGTTGTCCCTTTTATTTTGCGACATCCTTAAAATAAGAATTTACAGGTAATATTTTTTTTAACAATTGACAAAAGTGTTATTTGTAAATTCTTGTCTTAAATGAGCCTGAAACTTACTTTAAGGAAATAAAATTAGGCATATATGTGTCTGAAAGCAAATCGATACTCATGTATACAAATTTTACAGGAGTTATAAACTGCTACAATCACAAAGTGGGGAGCGTTATCCCCCCCTTATTTGTTTATGGGGTACAGTGTTCCCCATGGCTACAAGAAATAGAAAGGCATATACAATCGACAGACACAGGGACAGTGAAGTAAGAATTTTATTATAATTCGCGCTCAGAAATATTGGTACATCAAGTATTAATACTTGCAAGCGTAATAACTCTCCCTATTTATTTATAATTGAGATTAAATTATAAACAAATGTGTTCTAACCCAACCTTCAGAGTTATGACACGATACAATTACATGGTGCATAGTAATCGTGTATTTATTTCTGTACAGTCTGGTACAGATAAAAATATGACTGACTGCGTTTTAACGGCACTTACTTTCGAGAGGTGTACGAATGAAGCTTTGCACTGAACCCAGTACTAACTCAGTTCAATTCAAATCACATTCTCATCATCTATTATTACAATTATTTCCGCCTCCATGATGTGTGATAATTTGTAACGTATCTTACTGAGCAACACAAACATTTCTGTTCACAAAACAAGGTTACGGATGAAACAGATACTAAAATACGAAAATCTGAGCCACTCAGGTTCTTAACCTCGGCAGTAGATGGGGTGAGCGGCCCCTGCAGCGCTTTACACCCGGGGGAAAGGACCCCGGGACCCATTGGTGGGCCCCAGAGCCGGTCTGGACGCAGAAGATAGAGAATTAAGTCTAAGTTATCCATAGTGTTCCAGCATCTTTAAAAAGCAGAGTTTTATATAAGTACAGTAGGAATACAAAAACGGAAGGAGACTCTGTTTTAAATTCGGATCGAATAGTAAAACGCATTCTGAGAACAGCTGTAGGTACGTACGAAACTACGCTAGAAGAAAGTCAAACAACTCACACAAATTTTAGCTTATCATCGGAAGCAGTAGCCATGATAACAGAATGTTGTTTTAATTATGAGTTCGAAAACTGGTTAGCACGGCTGGTATTTAATTAGGAGATAAGGAAATTAATTACGCGAAATTTCAAACACATCCAGTTGCATACAGACAAAGATAAGATACCACTCTCTTACAACATCACAATCACTGCATCTGATTCCCATGACATTGATATCAAATTTAATCTGTTAAAATTTTTGCCAGTTCCATGGGGCAGTCCCTTGTAGGACACTAATATTCGTTCAACTGGTCAATAAATTCCCCATTTTAAGGAATCTCGATCAGAGGATTTGTTTATTATTTATTTATTTATTTATTTGCTTGTTTATGGTTCATTTATTTACGTTGTCAGTAGCTCAGGGTACATAGCGTCGGATGACAGGGTGATTAATAAATGATGAATTGAAATAGATACTTAAGGAAGCGGCCGTATCTTAATTAAAAGTAATATATCAGCGTCTTACAAAAAATAAAGCCTTAAACACATTTTAAAGAAATGTATTAAGAAAGATCTATGGCGCCATTCAAGATAATGGTATATCGAGGAACAAACATAATCACGAGCTGTACAACTTACATAAAGACTTTGAAATAAAAAAAGTTAAAATTTCTAGAATGAAGTGGCTAGGACGTGCTCAGAATGAATGACGAAGACCCAAGTTGCGATGGTTTGATTGGCTTGAAAAAGATTTCTACAACGTCCGAAACTGGAAAAACTTCGCCCTCGACCGTTCCCGATGAAGGCGTTGTCTTGAGCAGGCCAAGACTCGCCCTGGGTTGTAGCGCCCATGATTATTATTATTATTATTATTATTATTCGAGACGAAAATTGTCACACTGAATTAAGTCTAAGTTATCCATAGTGTTCCAGCATCTTTAAAAAGCAGAGTTTTATATAAGTACAGTAGGAATACAAAAACGGAAGGAGACTCTGTTTTAAATTCGGATCGAATAGTAAAACGCATTCTGAGAACAGCTGTAGGTACGTACGAAACTACGCTAGAAGAAAGTCAAACAACTCACACAAATTTTAGCTTATCATCGGAAGCAGTAGCCATGATAACAGAATGTTGTTTTAATTATGAGTTCGAAAACTGGTTAGCACGGCTGGTATTTAATTAGGAGATAAGGAAATTAATTACGCGAAATTTCAAACACATCCAGTTGCATACAGACAAAGATAAGATACCACTCTCTTACAACATCACAATCACTGCATCTGATTCCCATGACATTGATATCAAATTTAATCTGTTAAAATTTTTGCCAGTTCCATGGGGCAGTCCCTTGTAGGACACTAATATTCGTTCAACTGGTCAATAAATTCCCCATTTTAAGGAATCTCGATCAGAGGATTTGTTTATTATTTATTTATTTATTTATTTGCTTGTTTATGGTTCATTTATTTACGTTGTCAGTAGCTCAGGGTACATAGCGTCGGATGACAGGGTGATTAATAAATGATGAATTGAAATAGATACTTAAGGAAGCGGCCGTATCTTAATTAAAAGTAATATATCAGCGTCTTACAAAAAATAAAGCCTTAAACACATTTTAAAGAAATGTATTAAGAAAGATCTATGGCGCCATTCAAGATAATGGTATATCGAGGAACAAACATAATCACGAGCTGTACAACTTACATAAAGACTTTGAAATAAAAAAAGTTAAAATTTCTAGAATGAAGTGGCTAGGACGTGCTCAGAATGAATGACGAAGACCCAAGTTGCGATGGTTTGATTGGCTTGAAAAAGATTTCTACAACGTCCGAAACTGGAAAAACTTCGCCCTCGACCGTTCCCGATGAAGGCGTTGTCTTGAGCAGGCCAAGACTCGCCCTGGGTTGTAGCGCCCATGATTATTATTATTATTATTATTATTATTATTCGAGACGAAAATTGTCACACTTCTTCACATTTTATAATAGTATAATTTACTTAATTGATTCATGTTATTTTTACAAATATCCTAATATAGTTAGTAGTAATTTTTTGTGTATTTATTTTTTCCGTATCAATGTATTTTATATATTGCTTGTTTTACCTTTTATGTTTTATTGTGTTTGTGAGTTTATCTCTGTGCTGTATCTGTAATTGGCCATCAGGCTGTTGATACAGCACACAAATAATAAAGAATTGAATTGAATTGAATTATTATTATTATGCAGCCCCCCCCCCACCTCACCGGGTCTGTTACTGTTAAGCCTAAGGCACCAGTGTAAGAAACACGGCACTAAAAACAAGGAAGTTCGTAAATAATTATAAAATAGTCAGAGCGGTAGCTTATCCGAGGGGAGGGGAATTTTTATTATTCAAAACTCTCGTATTAGCCGGATTTAATATAGACCACCTGCATCTGAAGTGTTTAGGAACAGGCAATTAAGCCTAATCTTCCACAGTTCATGATAATACTTAATGAACAGTTAACACTTTCCATGGTATGAAAGGGATTTGTTGTTCAAGAACACCGCCCAAGTGTTTGTTAATAGATTAGCCGTATAAAAAGTTATCCTGACATTTCTCGACACTCCGTGTTATCCGTTTACAATTTTATTAATAAAAATGTAAATCACCGTGGTAAAAAAATAAAAGCATTGATTTTCTAAATTCTTTTTTGTGTAGAGGTTTAGAGCTTCTACAATCTTGGGGCGCTAAATAATTAGGATCTCGTGTTCAAATCCTGCTCGTGGTGAGCATGCAGTATGTTTTGTGTGTTACGTTGTCTGACGCATTTCGTATTCAGAAAAGTCTGAAACAGAGGACGCTTTATCACCAATAAGGCCGAAGAAAATCATTTGAGACCAAAACCGAATACGCACATCAGTTTCTGATCTACGCAGTTTATGTAAATTTGTTGGGAAAAAATGTATGCCACAAATGAAAAACAAAAGCACTCTTAAACGATAACAAAGAGGCTGGTCTAGAAGCAAACGCAGGGAAGATTAAATACGTGTGCTTACGTCCATGTTCAGGAAAGGAGGAAAAACATAAATATCTAAAAGTTAATAAATCATTTGGAAACGATAAGTTCAACTGATAAGGTTCAAATATGCAAGGACGACAGTTACAAATCAACACTACTACTAAACTTAGAGGTAACTGAATTCTAAAGATGGTTACTACCGTGCAGTGCAGTTGCAGTATTCTCGGCAGGCTGATGCGACTGCGCGGCATCTCCTTTGCTGCTGTTGCAAGCGATCACCATGGTAGCAGCCAACACACAGGGCAACGCGATCGAAAGGGCGACTCTGCGGGACCTTCAGGAACCATTCTTCTACGTCCTTCCGGTATGCGTTATTTAAAAAATAATTGAAGCACTGTTAGCAGGTCTCTGTAAAACGTGCGTAATACGACACTAAATGTGAGACTGTAACTCTGTATCTGAAACCAACGAGAATATTTCGATTAAATTTGGTATTTGAGTCGACATTTAAAGTTGTGAGCGATTTTAATTTTTGTCCAAATCGACCATTACTTACAGTACTCGGGAGCAAACTGTGTTTCACTTACGTCACTAACTAGTGGGCAGAAGGAAAACAAAAGCTTATACTGTGTAAACTAAAGGCATTACTGACAAGAACTGGGGCAGCAAGCTACAAAGTACTGCCGGTGGAATGTTTATTGTACGGTTCTTTATCTGCTGCCCTTCCAGCTCCTCCTTGCCCTTTACTTCTAATTGTCGTCAAAGGCACATATTCGCACACAAACCTCCGAATTCAATATTCACAAAGGAAACACCACTGAATCTTGTGTGGAGCATGGTTACCACTGTATGGAAACAGATTAGCTTAGTTTCAATTTTAAGTTTTGAATTGAATTTCTTATTGTATTGTTAGGAGTCTTAAACAACCAGTGCAGTCAATTTGTTTACTACGAAACTTTCAAAGTACATTTTAGGCTACACTCCTTGAGAACTGAACTTGTGTGGCAGATTTCTCCTAATTTTGAATCAAAGATAAACAAATTGTTAAATAGGACTTAAGGTTAATCACGGGGGCGAGTTTGAAGAAGACAGCCATCTTCAAATGAATTGTTCAGTGATGCCAAGAGAACAATTTAAGAAAATAAAACATTCTCCCATAAAATCTAACAGAAATTTTAAAAAAGTGTCAGTCCAAAACTGTTGTCTATAAAAATGTGTTAAAGCGATCTTAGCAGCGTACATCCGTCTGTCCACAAGTCCTCGGGAATTACAATTTTTATCAACTATATGAAAATATCGTACAGTGGTGAACTTTTTCTGAACTCGGTAATGAACCTTTTGGTCACATACAAGCAGTGAAGTTCTTGTTCAGGTGAGTATTATCTTTTCAAGAAAATCTTTACCATGGTGTCAGTTAATTTGATGAGTCATGTGATGTATTTATTTTCAGACCAGCAAGATGGATGAATCGCCACTCTAAGCCCAGGTGGCCCAAAAGATTCCGAAAACGACGACATCCAAAAAACCATTGACTGGGGCATCAGCCTGTGCCCCCACCAACCCCAAAATACCAGAAGAATATGCTCTATAAACCCAGGGGCTAGAAACAAGACCACCTTAATAAGCTTTGCAGATAAAAGCACAACAGAAATGCACAGAAGACTAAATTTTTACAAAATTATTTAAAAATCCCTGTCGTCCTGTAAGGGCAAGTGTTCGAAGGGGGAAGTGATTAAAAATCCCTTATGCGCATGCACGCACACTCTATGTGGTACAAGTCACATAAGGACTGCTTCCAACACGTATATTCTAACTTGTAGCTATAACCAGTATGTTAACCATGAGAAACATATTTGTATTGTTCTCAAACTATTAGTAAGAAATTCCATCAACATCTCAATGCTCTTTATACAGCATGTAATTGTACTAGTGGGAACATAAATCTGGAATGATTAACAAAATTATAATAGACCTATTAGAAATCCGAGGTTGAATGACACTGGACCAAAAACCTACCACTAGAACTCGATCCTGAGCAATTTCAATTTACTACATATTATCATAAACTATTTAACTAAAATTCATTTTAATATTACCCACATTCCTCTTGCATTTTTCACTTTTCCCTTCCTAAAATTCTGTATTTCCTCCAAGCTACATCTAACCCCTCATAACCTCTCTCATTTTACTGCCCTAACAATCTACTCACACTCCTCACAAAATTCATCTATCCTATGTTCAAATTCTCTCATCTGCATACACCCAAAAATTAGATAGAAAGATGAAACATGCAATGGTTATTTATGCATATGACATTAAGAAGAATGAAGGATGATGGGGTAGAAAAAGCAGGAGGAGAAGGAGGTGATAGTGATGGTTTCTTTTAAGTATCAGTATACTGGAAAGTTGTAATTCAATTTACCATGATCCTTAAATGCAACTTTATTCCAACAATACATGAAAGAAATTACTAAAGCCATCCTTCTATCATGCCTAGACCATATGATAGAACCATCTACTACTATAGTCTAAATAGTAATATTGAATGTCAACACATTTTAAAAACTTCACATGAAACTGTCGTGTCAGTGGTAATACTGACAATAAGACAGTACAGAACACATGCTTGTCAGGAAGTGGCTTAACACTTCCATTATTCTGCAAATGAATTATATCCCACTGAATATATGAATCCTAATGCTGAAATAATTACAATTAAAATAACGATGAGTTAAAACACGACATATCGTACATTGGGGTTTCACCAGAATTCCGGAATTGCAACTCTCCATGCTACTTCACGGACCACCAATCAATGACAGCAGCGCCCTTTTGTAGTCTCCAGATGTTTCACTCTAGAAACACAGGAGAAAACATATAAATATAAACATTAACACATTCCTGCCCAGTTCATTCCACGCCCTTTCCAAATTCATTATTCACACATCTTTGAATATAATTCATATACCTACATATTTTAAAGGTCATCATTAAATAATACAAAAATGTCAATGAATTTAGACTGAGCAGATCTAGTAAACACCTACCTCATAAGTTCAATTGCTTCACTGAAAGGAAAGTATTAAACCACTCATGAAGCAGTGAACATTCTTTCACGATTCAACCTACCCTGACAGCACTCTCCAGAGTCTTGTCATACAGTCGCTCATATTCCTGCTTGATACTTTCCAAGTCAATCTCACTGCGGCTCACAATAATACGAATGAGATCAACATCCTCAGTTCCTCCTCCTGCCATGGCCTTGTGGAGTCGCTTGGCAAAGAAAGCTGGTGGACTTTGAACGCACTCAACTGCAAACACATTAAATTAACACACATATGTTATTTTAAACCTTACTCTCAAAAGATTTGTGTAAATAAATTTGATTGTTTCAAAATAAATGCCACATTAACATGAAACTTTCCTATTGGTATACCACACCTTTTTCCAAACAAATAATTCTTACTTTCATCCAGTGATATTTAAAAGCCATCAAACTATGCTAATAGGTTAGGCATGATTATGTAGAACAAGAAAATTTATCATTAATGCAAATGTACTTTAAAATCATCATCCAAAGTCAGTATTAATTATTTTTAATATTATAGAGGAAACATATCTATTATACTAAGGCAGCACAAAAGTGTATCTAAACCAAGTTTATGTTTAGAAAGTGAAATATGGGTTATGAGAAAGAATTAAAAAAGAAAATAAAGTGCAAACAAGTTATATACTGTTTTGGGGGTAACTTTAAAAGGCACATTACACCATGAAACAATAAGAAAAACAAACCACAAACTACTCTCTTGAGAATGTGAACTTGTATTAGATTGGAGATATGGAGAACAAATGCAAGAATAAGAAAACTATATATTTGAAGGCTGAAGAGTTGATGGAAAGACAATTTAATCTCCTGATACTTGGAACAGGCAACACATTCAAACACTGGTGGAAGAAGAAAAGATGAAACAAATTATAACAAGACATTATTACTGAAGCTACAAACTAAAAGATTAGAAACAACAGTACATAAATTTACTGAACTCTTAAAAAATACAGAATTACCTATAGCCAACATTGCTTCCAGTAATTCTCCTGACAATTCTGCTTCCAATGCTTGTTCAATGGTACGTCCAGATACATTTTTATATTCTTCAAATATGAGCTTCAGTTGAGGAAAGCTCTCATGAGCCATGATCCTATTGAAGACCTCTTCATCTGTTCCGACTTTCAGCTCGCCTAAAGAACAAGCAACATTGGACAATTACGTAATTTAATTTTCTACTTTGTTAAACAAATTAATATTAATTCATTACATTGTGCATTTGGGACAATAAGTAGTGCAGTTCAGTAAAATCTTTACCTTATGAGCAATCAGACATGGGTACACACTTCTCTGTGAACAAGTTAACGATTCTTAGCTTAATTAATTACATTGTTTCAGTGACTAGGTTAGTGGTCATGAACTATTTTAATATACATTATCCCAGAATTTACTTGGGGAAACTACTGGAAGTCACATACCTCAGTTAAAACACCTCAATTCTGGGCTAAGCATCAAAACATTGATATTCCAAATAAAAATTGGGATTGGATTACTAATGATTCAGTTACAATGTTCAGCCAAGTTAATTAAATATCTGAACTTTCCTTGAGGTACAAAATGAATTACCTGATATATTTCACTTTATAAACATCATGTTCATCTAAAGATAATGAAAGTTACTTAAGAAAAATTTGAGTTTAAAACCCAACCTAACCATCATCACAATAATCCAGGATTCACAGAAATGAATATTACATAATTTACTACCTACGTTAAAAACTATTCACATTTATTGACATATATTCAAGATGTCTGCTACAATGGGACAGACCCAATGTACAAACTCCACTTTATACAGCCAACCCTTCAGATGATACAGATGAGATACAAAAAAATAGATCAACCCTATGCTTATTTGATCACACTATGAAAACACATGGGCAGTGGAGGTATACCTTTCTTTTTATTACCAATACATTATATTATTGTTGTTTACTTTTCTCAGAGTAAATATACTGTTCACAGTATTATCAAGGTATATATATATATATATATATATACACACACACACATATTATAAAACTTCAAAGGTATCACCCCTCATCCTTGTAACATCTAAGAATTGTAATCAGGATGTATCTGTGCACCTGAGGACTATAAGAAATGCAAGGGAATAAGAGGGGTAGCAGATAAGGAAGCAAACACTGTCCATACTATAAACATGATTTCCCAGTGGCAATAACTTGTAGCTCTCCATCTCATTTCTTGTGTCAACAGCTTTGGTTTATATAGTATGTGCAGTTCTTTTCCTGCTACCCACAAGCTAGGCATATCACACAATTGTCCTTAAACTTTAATTCTAGAAAAATAAACAAATCATGCAATCTGAGGGTTCATAAACAAACCTCCATTCACCTGAGAAAATTCTAAACAAACACTAAATACTGTTAATTGTTATACCAATTCCAGTATACATTAAAATAACATTACTTCATAAATGAGAATCCTTGTTATACCACAGGGAGTAAGAACAGAACAATGATTCATTAATGACTGAACTATACCATTCCCTACCTGACTCATGGAGCTGAGTGGCCATAGTGACGGCGTACTCAGAGGAGGGTGTGCGATTCTCATCCCGTTTCTCCTGCAAGTATGAGTATCACTAGTTCCGAGATAAGGAGCAGGAAACAAATGGTTTGTGTACAGACAATAACAAATATTTATGTAATTATGTAAATTTATACTTAAAAATATGCTAAAAACATTCTGTAAAGTTTCCTCTTTCAACACAATAGTGCACATAGGGTCACAATATACGTGTGATTAATGCAATGCATGAATAAATACAAAATTATCCTTATTTTCACAAGAAAATATAAACTTAGAGTCTAAAATAACATTCTTTTAGGGCTGATAAAATTGGATCCACAGTTTGTGGGATTGACTAATTTTTTTCATCAGCAACTTCTGACCTGTTCACAATATTTTATCACTGCTGGTAATGAGCACAAACATCTATTTTATTTGTAGATAGAATGAGAATATTTCTTCCTTTAAAACTACAGGAAATAGTGTAACCATAAGGTGTTAATACATGCTTACCACTGATGCTGAAGTCAAAAGACGCCACCACAAGATTTGGAATAACTAAGCTCTAAAGAAACTGCATCCACAAGCAAAGCCTCACCTTCTATCCAATTTATTCCACCAACATGCATAATCAGAGGTGAAAGTGCTACTGAAGGTAAATCCTTGCACCAAAAGTCAACTCAAATTCATGTCAAGAAATTTGTTTTTGAAGAAAATGTTTTGAGCAATGCATAAAATAATAATTGGTTTTATTGTACAGATTCAAACCATATCAGACATTTCAGGGGAAATTTCAATCTGTAAGCCATACTTTAAATATGGCCTTATGTACATTTATTCTTCTGTATGAAGATTAGTAAAAATATAGATATTAACATTTTATAAATTCAAACCTCTTCACCAGCATCTTTTTCACTCATATCGATTTTAATATCTTCCTCTCATCCATATCTTAAACATCAGATTTCAGTTATTCTTAAACAGACATTTTGTATTTGTTTCCTCTCAATCTATATCCTTTGTATCCAGTCCATCTTCGGGACTGAATTCAGCAATGAAGATGGAGGCATATATTTGCCTTAAGTCCAAATGGCATTACAACCCAGAATACCAACACTGACATATTCACCACTGTAAGAAACCTAAACTCATTTTGTGAGTACTATTTATAAATATTATTTCCTTTATAACATATTTTAATAACACTCCATTCATGCTAAAAAAATCTAAAACTTTAAATACTCACAATATTTTTTGTATAATTGCATTAGAATATGCACATGAGGACTATTCAATCACATACCCAGAAACAAAAGCAAAACACTACCCTCTCCCATTTTAAAAGTAAACTTAACTTTCATACAACCAGGATATCAAGAAAGCTGTAGTGTGATAAATCTACTGAACTCTTGGCAGAAAAGATTTCACCTTCAGTAGGGCTTTTACTACACTATCACTCATAGTGACAAGTGAGAGTACCTGCTGCATGTAACTGTTCTGCTGATTCTTTAGCTCTGCCAGGATCCACAGCATAATCATTCCGCACTCCCTAGGGGCAAGATGAAACTGAAAGTCTACTAGGAAATAGCCACTGTCCTTTTGATTTCATGCAGTGTTCTCAAGCTCAATTATGTACATGCAAACAGCTGTAACCATTCTAACACTAAGTTATATTGTTTGAAAACTAGGCAATGAAACAAGTGATCCATGAAAAAGTGTACTCATCAGCACAGAAAATTAGAGGTGCATGTTAATAACATGTTTAATGTCACAATACCTTAACGGGTCATAACATAAATATGAGTCAGTCAGCAAGATGAAAGATATTTATGTGCTACTAGAATGTGACCCATATATATGTCATCACCACCACCAGGGATGGTAGCTGCTTTATGGTCATTAAACTTTCATCTTTGAATTTCAAAACAATTACAATAATATCACATACATGTATGATGAATATGTACATCACATGAAAACAAAGCTTTAATTTGATAGCTTAAATGTGTGCACAATTCACCAGTAATTTGTTACAGCGTGTTCGTAGATTTGAAACATTTAACTTACAGTAACAATAAGAGTCAGGAGGCGTCGGAAGTCTCCAGATGTTTCACTGCACATATGCTCTGCCAATGGGCGATCATACACTGCAACAGTCACAAATGATACATGCAATAATAATATGTCTTATTCTTCTTCTGTACCAACAAGAACTGGGCCTCCAAGACCCAAAGCTGGTTTGACTATCTCTAGCCTTTACATGTAACATGTATAAATAAGTATGACACACACACACACTCAAATACACATATATACACACACACACACACACACACATATATATATATATATATATATAAATGACTTAAAACTACTTTTTTCACAACTATTTTAAAAATTGTGCCCTCAATTCAGAATTAAACAACAGAAATATCCACAATTTTACCAAATGATAGGAACAGAAAGAATAAGACAATGGAAAAAATAACAAGAGGAGAAAGAACAAAAGTTGAAGGAAAAAATACAGTATTTGTAAATGTAAGTTGTAGGAACCATATACATGCTGAAATTCAATGGGTAATCCAAGAAATATTAATAAAAAGCATTTTGTTCTTGATGTGTTCTGTCATATGCACTTTAACAAAGAAGTTTCTTATGAACGCATTTCAAATTAACAGCTTCCTTAGATTCATGGAAAAGACATGTAAGAATAGGCATTTTCATTTTACTCCATTATCTCTTTAACATACAGTTTTGAAGAAAAGCATTTTTATGAACATTGAAGAACCATGCGCCTAATATCAACTTAATTTCTTTTAATGTGTTAAAGTGGATATAAATACATTTTAGTTCCCTTTCATTTTATCTGCAACTCACATGTTAGAAGACATATTTGTATCCCACATATTAACAGCAAATATATAAAGTTTTGAAACAGGCACTGGAAAAAAATTAGTTTTGGAATTTGCCAGTTTCCAGTCTGACTTTGCAATTAACATGAAAAAGCATGAGAAATACAAATAGAGCTCATCTTAGGTGCTTTGTATAAATATTTTGCAAATACACTTTTCTTTTCTGGAAAGTACTTCCTAACCTAAAAATTTCTGCTCCTTACAGTTTTGCTTCAGTACAAAGCATGACACACACACACACTTTTTTCTTGGTCCTACCTAATAGCATACATTAAAGTAAGGTAAAAAGCAATCAGTCACGGCTGTATTTTATTAATTTTATTTTCCACCTTTTAATTCTATCTTTGCACTTCTCCAAAAACTTCTTATAGACATGCATACTTACAGCAATGTTTCATAAAGCACAAACCACTCCTGATTATAGTTCACAATGGAAACTAAAGACTGCTGCAACTCTAAGAAAGGACCAGACTGGGTTGATACTTACATCTCTCATAGGCATCCACAATTTCTTTCACTTCCTTGTTGCTCTTGCTGCACAGAATCTCAATCAGCGTGTGTTCATCAGTTCCCATCCCTTCCATTGCCCTGTGCAGCTGTTTGCACAAATAGTCACCCGGAGGAATGACCAGTGCGACTATCACATCTTCAAAATGCCCACCTAACTCACTTTTCAAATCCTCAATCAAGTCCTGCAAGACAATACTTTGACATTAAAACAATGTGTGAACTACAACACAATGTAACATCTTAACCATTTCTATTCCAGTATTAAGGAAGACTTGATACCACATTTTGTTTTACTGTGGCCAATGTTAAGGTAGCCATGACACTCATTTCTACCAGTGCTCTCATCCAAACTTTCTGAAGGCTTGTTCATGAGTAACTTAAATCTGTCAATAGAAATCTTTATGCTTTACAATGACAGAATTCACTTTGAAATAAAGCAAACAACAGTTAGAACTTTTGGAACAGGGACTAAGCATCTACTTAATTTTAATTAGACTAATGAGCTCTTAAAACAATTTTACTCATATAAGTGAAACTTTTACATTAACCAAACAATAAATAAAGCCTTCTCAGGTGATCAGCCACATCAACACAGAATAAAGTCCAACATTCTGGAGACTGTCTCAGTCTCCATCCTTTGTACCCAAATGATTAAGACTCTAGCACCACAACTGGAATTCTTAGTCAGTTGACAGCCTTCTAGGATCTTGTGCTATGTGGTCTGATAATGAAGGCAATAAGCACCTCTGAAACAATGGTCAACTTCTATGAGAGTATATGGCACAACATCCCAGAAGGCTGTCATCTTCACACTCACTGCTGAGAGAACCTAAAATATCATACAATAGTATTCTTTGCTTCACAAATCTTTCCAACCTCCCTAACTGTGATATGAAAATATAAAATATCAGTATTTGTTTGTTTGTTTCTGTTTCCCTGATTCTGTGGGCTCACAAAAGAAAACCAATTTCAATAAGCATAAACAAAAGACAAGTCAAGTATGTACAGTAAGAAAATTATAAAAGTATTTCCTACTTCTGGTGTTGCACAGCCATGTACTAGTACAAGTTTCAAAAAAATAAATTTCTAATGTTCCATAAATTAATCATTAACACTGGAACCTGGACTAATAAACTTGCTCGAGCACTAGAAGACTTTCAAATTTAACTAGCTAATCAGTTATGGAAAGCTTGATGAACCACATCTTGATACATAATTAAGAATTATGAAGCTTACCATGAATCTTCAGGTTAACTAATTATGAACGAGTGAAACTGATCAACTCAGTTCTAAGACTCAACACTACATATCAGCCTTAAAAGCCTATTATCAAGGACAATAAAAGTAGTCACTTACTCGGCCATATTCCTCCGTAAAGAACTTGGCTATTTGTTGACGCTGGTTGTTTGAACGTTTTGTAAGGATATCAATAATAGCTTGTTCATCTGTGCCAAAGCCTTTCATTGCCTCCCTGAGTGCCACACCATCATTTCCTGCACTGAACCCAGAGGCAGGTGTTACAGCGGGGCGGGGCTGAAAGAGAGAAACAGTCATTGCTAATCCCATGCTAACATCCACTGCTCCTTGACCAAAGTAGTTATCCTTTGATTAGTAACATTTCTTGCAATTTACCTTATTTCTGGAGTCTCTTTATGTTCTTAATAAATATAACAAGCATATCTAATTAATAATAATCACAATATTCATTACCAGTATTCTTTTCCAGAAAGAAAAATAGAACAGAGGGGTACTCTAACGAAGCCCGAGCCACTGTGAGACATTTAGCAATGACTATGTTTCTATACTGATGGTTTGAAAGATGCTAATCATGATAATTATTGAACATATTTGCACCGGCCCTCTGTATCCACAACCTGAAGACACCATGCCATGGTGATAAGATACAGAACTGACAAGCATATTCATCAAAGGATTTGAATAAAAGGGTATGGTTTCTAAACGTGGTCAACATGCATATTGAACTTAACCATATTAATTATTAAGTTGAGTTCTCAAAACTAAAGACTAAATCTGCCTATCACTGGGTTTTTGAAGTCCACAGCTTTGATATAACGAGCTCTACTAGCACTGCTATTCAACTACACAATATTTATTCTTATAACAATATTTTACTACCTCTTTCCCCATTTCCAACTATACATTATAAATTTTATTCTGTCATTTTCATCTACTAAACTTTATACTCTTTCTGACAATGTGGGCCTACAATACACCACAGCCAACATCTTTCTATTAAGATGTATAAATTTGGACTTAAACTTACATTTCTGACTCTTGCATAGCCTCTATCTTTTGATGCCATTTTACCAGCAATGTGCAAAGATAACACTGTACTTACTGTATAATATTGTGCCATAGCAACAGCTCAGAGGTCTATCTTCCTCTGAAGTATCAGGGCAGCACAAGTGTGTCTTGTTTACTTGATGCTGATGGGAGCTGAAAATGGTTATTATAACTGCTGTAAAATATTGCCAATAAATGCTTCGACAATGTGGGTAAGTATAATTAATTACTCGGTGGTAAGAGCAACAAAGCAAAATAATATTTGTAATGACATCAGGAGCAGACTTGATTTTCTGAAATGCTTGCTACAGTTCAGTTCAGAATTTGTTACTGTCTCATGGCTTACTTAAAAAATTAAGATTAAATATAAGAACTATGACTATAATTTACTTATTGTGTTATATGGATATGAAACAAAGTCTCTGATTCTAAGAGAAAATATATTAAGGATGCCAAGAAAAAGATACTGAAAATGATTGAACTTAAGAGGGAAAATTGTAAGAAAATGGAGAAACTTCTATAATAAAAAAATTTACAATTTGTACTGTTTGTTCTATATCACATTATGCTGTGACCAATCTACTCTCCCCTCACCCTTCCTGGCTTCCACCTTTGCAAAAGAGTGATTGCACTTCAGGCACATACGAACATTCTTTGGTTAATACCAAGTAGGTGGTCAAAAACTATGGACCAGTTTAGAGAGGAACTAAAATTTAACCAGCTCTACAGACTAGGTAACACCACTCACATTCTACCACTTTAAACCAAACAGGTTAGCTCCATAGTAAAGCATCTATTTCAGAAATAAGTAAAATGTGATCTTTGAAAACAATGTATCCACTCTTCAGCTATCAGCTGTTACTGTGTTGTACTCTGGGATGGCTGGCTTCCAAAAGACTGGATGACAAGGATCAATACAGGCCAGCAGTGGGATTTTCTCTTCTCTCTGGGGCCATAGAGGAGTACAATGGATGCTGCTTCCTTCAAATATAAGGTGCAAGAGCATGAAGCTCACCATTCACCTCCATCTAGTACACAGATTAATATTGAGTGGAGTTCTACATCCACACCTCCTATGTCTTCACAAACTGATGCTTTATCATAGGGATAACTACCATAATTTTATAACAAAGTACTGAAATTTCAAATAAATAATTAAAATCAAAATGCATATGATGTGATGCTGAGAAATTAAAAGGTTTCAGGACCCAGCACATGTATTTAATATTTTACTACGCTAACATGTGGGTATATGAAAGACCAGTGATGCCAACTCCAGATTCAACTTGATGCATGAACTTGAGGGCTGAGTTTAGGATACAGCATCTGAATTACATTCCTGGCAAAGGGAGGTATTTTTCTTTTTGCAATTCCCAGATCAGTTCTTGGGCCTACTAAGCCTAATGTCCAGTAGGTACTGGAGACTCCTTCCACAGGAAGACAGCAGCCATAGCATGAAGCCACCCCCTCACTACAACTAATGCATAAGTTACAAATGTGTGGACCTACACATAAATTCTCCTGTGTCTTCATGGCACTGTGACTGATAAAGCATAGGGACAATTTTAAATGTAATTAATTACTGTACTTATTAATGATGTTACTTTTATACATTTCTTACACCAACCAAATATGTTCAATCAGTTCTAATAGGTAAATCATAAACTTTTAGTTGCAGTGTTTTAAACTTTCAGACATTTAAAAACATTGCTGGCCCACAAGTCAAAGTAACTGTCTGCCAAAGGTTATATCTATACTTGGGTTGAATCTAAGCCCAGCTAAAGTTGGGTGGTTTTCCTCAGCCCTCTTAGACAAATTGCATTAAAGTACCTGAAAACGGAATGACTGCTGCTTCTAAGTAATTTTTTATTTACCAAATACTTAATGACCTTCTACGAAATAATTTTTCGCTTAAGTATGCCGTGAGTTAGCCTCAGTGAATGCTGCACACATACGCTCTAGTGTTCAACTACAGGATATTTATACCATCAGAACGTGCAGTACCGTAGACAGGAAGTCTGCGAGCTGAGAGTCTGAACAGACTTGGAAGCAAGGAGTCTGCGCAGGCAGGCAGGCAGGCAGGCACTCACTCACTCACGCACGCACGCACGCACCCACCCACCCACGTACACATAAAAGCCATTGCAAATTCTCATAAAGCTCAAAGGAAGTATTGTACGTAAACAATATAAAATTTGGCGACAACTGGGAAATATCTTCATGTACTAATTTCAAAAGATTGTTTTATAATTAAAATCGCATGGTCTTCATTTTCGTACCTGCAAAATTAATTTCAAAGAAGTTTCTACACTGGTGTCCTCATTTACAGTCGTTGATTAGAAGCAAAGGTAGAAGAAAGGCATCCAGCCCTTCGCGAGATGTACATTTGTAATTGGACCAGACTATTGCTATCATTATCCTCGCGTGAGTTTCGTTTTAAACACAATGTCCTCCTTACGCGAATACAACCCAGCCGAAATTCAGTTCCATGTTGTTGTTTTTTGGGGGGCGGGGAGAGTGTTATAGAAACTACTTTGACCGGCAAACCCTTCTGACCACGAAACGTATTCCCGGATCACAACACACATAACTTATAAGAAAATAATTTAAACAAATACCGCCACCCCATCAACTGTTCGCATTTACAACTAAAGAAGAACGCTTGAGCCACCTCATTTAGACGTCCCTTACATACACTAGTGACTCAGAAACTGTCGCCACACAATGGCACTAGAGACTTTCTATACCCATTAGCTTAATGAGTTCAAAAATTATCAAGGGACAAAGTTTGGTTGAAACTGAATCAGTCGTTTACAAGCTACGAGTAAACAAATGAGTAATTACAAAGATAATTTAATTTCCCAACGTGAAAACCCGTGACAGCTTACATGAACAAGAAACATTTGCTGCGACCATATTCAATTTTTGACATGGAAATTCCAAAATGTGTAGATCTACAAGAACTGTAACTGCGTTACCCCAGAGCGTATTTAATGTTGTGTAAAAAACAATTAACCTTCGGGTTACATAAGAGGCAGGCAATTCAATGGCCACATCTGCAATTAAAAGCTTTGTTGCAACGAGGCTTTGGTGTTGGTCCTACGGGTTCTGCTATCAGGGAGTTAGGTTTTCAACGCAAGAAGTTAGGTATGGAGATAACTGACATTCGAAGGCCGCAACAATATGCGATAACACATTATTAAATATATTATATCCAATTGTCAACTGTATTATTTATAAAATCGTTAGTGACCGCATTTGAGAAGTGCTGCTCTATTTTACACTGAATATAGAGCGGAGATGTGTTCTCTTGCACACGGACACAAAGAAGCACACACGAATGTCAAGTTAACTGAAACACGTTTCCATCTGATAAAAGTGGTCATTTTATATCTATTTGAAACAGAAAATTTATTAAAACTGGGATATTTTGAGCCGCACGTCACACGTAATTCGAGAACTGAAACGGCTGGCATAAAAGAATTACGAGGGGCGCGAGTTCTTTTTTTATTCCTGAGTTAGAAATATTTAATTCCAACATGAAAAAGCTAACTTTGGCCTGTTTTTGTGATAAACAAAAGACTTATTAACTGACACAGTTACACTTTGGCACCCCTTTAAACGCCAGTAAGGCGCCACACCCATACACAAAAGGGAAAGACATGGGCGTCGTCTATCCTGGTTTCCCGAGGGGGAAATGACACAGTTGTGAAATATGAAACATTATTTCGATGTGTTATATATGGCGTTTCCTCACTAATACAAGACTGGGAGCTTTAATGCTATACTAACCTGCACCATAAGAGGAATCGTTATAGTAATAGGATAAAAATATTAACAATAACAAATAGATTACAAACGAAATAGCAGCCCTGTCGACATCCAGATGGAGACTTTATGAGAAGTCAGTAAGCCACCTCCGTTGTAAAAGCAACCCACAAATCCTCTTTCAACTTTTATCGATATTTTTGGTTCCGCGGACCCCCTCCCCTATCAACCTTTCTAGTACCGCGGACCCCTTATCGTCAGTCAACCCGGCTGAAAAACACTGCCCTACATTATGAAACTAAAGCTGTCGCAGTAGCAGATTTTGTCACTTGCATCCAACATATCAACAGAGAAGTTCAGATCTTTTTCGCAGGTCGTAATTTACCCACCCCTGTTTACGGTACATAAAAATAAAGAAGTCTT